ATGAAATAATCCATTTTTGCATGTTTCTACACAGCTAAAAAATTCATAACTTAGTCAAAATCGGTTCAAAACTACTTCAGAATATCAACATGTACTTCATTTTTTCTTCTTAACCTTATTTTGAACTTGAAATTAGTAAGAAAAATCCTCTTGTTCCCAAAGTTTTCTAGAAATTCTGTCGGAGAATGAAATGCTTTGTCTTGGTTTTTTAAATTTGTAATCAATTTCACGGTGTAGTACAGATAAAATAAAGTACATGTTGATATTCTGAAGTAGTTTTGAACCGATTTTGACTAAGTTATGAATTTTTTAGCTGTGTAGAAACATGCAAAAATGGATTATTTCATCTAGTATCGATTTTCACTAGATTTTGAATTTTCGTCTACAATAAAACTTGCAAGATAAATTTAGATGATTCAGATATTAAAAGATTTTCGATGATTGAAAACCTCTATTTCAATAGCTTTTGAGGTTTCTAGACGAAGCATTGAGCAGTTCTAGAGCTTTGCGAAAAATGCCTGTAGCTACCGAACCATGGTAAATGAAGATGTCACCTAGATCTTGTTTTGTAGAGGGCACTTTCTTCTATCTTTTTTAGGATGGACAATAAGTGGTTTTTCATACAGCTGTAATCAGTATAATAAGGTTCCCCAATTCTCTCAACTTTTAAACTGGCTTAAAGTTTGCATGCATGTTTGTCTATCTATCCTGTACCATGAACTCACAGTGTGCATCCAGGCGGACTTTTGTTAAAAAATTGAAAGTGCGCTTTTCGGTGATTCAAATAGTAATTTATATACTTTGGACCACGCTCTATTCGATGACAAAAAACTTTTTTTCTTAGGGCATACTTATGTTGGGAAAAATCATATAGACAAAAATTACGCTAAAAAAAAGAGGCACTGTCGGAAAACAATTAAACGCAAAAGTAAGGTAAGCGGTCAAACAAACAAATCTGTATTCTTAATTTATGTCAAGTCGTCTATCGATTGCTAAAAACATTTCTAGTTTAGGAGTTTTCAAGATGGAAAAGAGTTATTGTACATTTTATAAGCAAGTTTCCAAGGAGGTGCATTCAGTAAAGTACATGCGCAAAGAAAAGCGAAATTTCAATTTGGATGAAAGTTCAGCGCAAGAAACTGCATCTAATGATGTGCAATTAGTAAGTTTTTCTGAGCAACTTGTTGAATCTAACGAAACGCTAAGCTCGAAGCATAGGGTCAGAATTTTGGCTAAGGATTTTGATATTTGCAACAGAAGCAGTACGAAAGACTATAAACACTTTTTTATAAGTTTTCAGATATACTCTTTCCACTGATGCACTGTATAAAGTTCCAGAATACTGATGTATGGGTTTTCTAGAGACCCGATCTGAAAAATGCACTCTGTGGAAGTAGTCTAAACCTCCTTATACTGCGCTACGCGGTTTTTGAAACTCTTAGTTGTTCAGGCAAATCAATTTTTCTTAGCTTAGGAGCACTTTTAAGAGAAACCAATATGATATTTGGAATTAGCGCGTGAAACTGTATTTAGCAATGTATAACACGATAAGTTTTGGATCGAACATATATTCGTCTAAATTTTTTCTCATGAACCGATTTTTTCTTAAATCATTTGATATTCTTGAGCATAGCAATCAAACCGAAACCTTATATATCAGAGCTAGTTGCATTCCACATCCCTGTTAGAATCCTATAAGTGTTTTATTAGATTCTTATACGATCTTACGTATTTTCTTATTATTAACAAATGCCAGTTCCATCATATAAAACAACAGTTTAGAGAAAAGATTTGTGGTTAGAACAGGGAAAGAATAGAATGCATTGTTATTATCAATGCATCACTAAATATTATTTGTCAACATCTTGAACAGTTCTTTGTTAAATAGCAGTTTGAACAGCTTCTTTTATTTGTGTGCGGATGTTTGTTTACTTTTTTTTTATTACTTCTTTTACTTCTCAACTTACTATGTGACGCTAAAATTGACTTATCTTTTTGTTATTTATTGGCATAACATGTTATGTTCCATCACTAACAGAAAAAAGATGTGCATGCAATTACGTTTTCTTTATATTAACTTAACATCACTTGACTTACTGTTGATATAAAAATAGACCATAATAATTCAGAAAGGACGATGTTTCGAAAATCGGCTATAAGTAAAAATTTATTTATCTTCGCTATTGTTCACCACCTCATATTTGTTTTATTTGATAGAAAAATGCTCAAGGACTATTTATAGATAAGTTGTTTTTTCTTACGCCGATCATCGTTTTGTTCGCTGAGATAATAAATATTGTTCGAAATGTCATATAACTTGCGCGGAGAAGTTTAAGTTTTTAGTATTTTAACTCAACAAATGTTTTCGAACCACATTTACTTGGGAGAAACACGAAAGACTAAACAATGTTAGCCAGCAGAAGACTGATAAATTTAGTTACTTTTACAGTCTATTTGACTTTTTATTCTAAAAAATTAGTTTTTTCATTTTTAGCATTTTATGAGATAAAAATATCAGTTTTTCAGCAGCTTTTGATAGACATTGTATAGATTTTCCTTATTTTTTTGTCCTAATAAAACTAATAAATCTATATTGTATTCTATGGTTCATTTTTGTTAATTGATTTCTCAAATAAAATCTCTTACTCAAATATAACTTAAATATTATGACTTGAATAAGTTTTATTCTATAATCCCTATTCATTCTATATTTATTTTATGTTCTCGACAATATTTTTCTATCAAATAAATAAAATAGTGAACTGATTCGGTTACAAATTAACGCGAGATATTCAAATCTTTTATTCGGTAAAGATTTGTGAAACGCCCTGTGTATTAAATAAAGAATCATTGTCAGATAGACAGAAGCGTTTTGTCTTAACAACGTATTCAATAACAGAATTTTGTTCAAATTTTCTACCCAGACTATGAAATAGCCAGCAGAAGACTGACTGATAAATAACACCTGTTATGAGATCTTCAGCTAGAACAAGTGCTAGATGTTTATTCAAACTATTTTCTTATCTCGATCTTCATAAAAAAAGAGAAAAGTCTTCTACATTATTAGTATATAAAAGTATTCTTATTTCCGTCCTCAAATAAACATATTAATTATACTCACTCTATTCTAACCGTTCCAATAAATATCACGCACATATAGAAAAATACTTCCTGAATTGATGTGCCTTACTTCAGTCGAAAGTAACAGGCAATTCGACATTTACCAATATATTAAATTATGTTGCTCTCAAGATCAGTTTTATGTCAAAATATTTTGATGGTTTTACGTTTTGCAACAGCAGACATGTTCGTTTTAATATTTATAAATACCATAAGCAAAGTGGACGGGTAAGTGTTCGATGTGCAGACGATAATTCTAACAAAAAAGAACTGAAGTTATTATAAAATATTATGAAGTTAATGTATGAAAGTTCATGATCTTTTTTCTGTGAATTTTTTCTAGTATTTTTTCAAGATATTTCTAATACTAAATCTTTTTAATTTTTCTTATGTTCTTGCTATTTATGAACAAATTGCATAGACTTTGATAAGATCTATCTTTTCTTTTATAGTTCAGATATTCCCATATCCTTAGACAATATTTCAACAACATTGAATGAATTATTAAGATCGTATGATCGAAATTTACGTCCGGATTATGGAGGTAATAGGCTGTACATATTAAAATCGTGTTTTGAGCTTTTTTTGTATCTTTTTTTCTATAGGTGTCTCGAACAAAGTATCTGTAGATATTTTTGTTCGAAGTATGGGCCCTATATCTGAATTCGAAATGGTAAGTGGTTAAACTACTATACATTTCAAAACTAAATGATTTCCCAATTTTCTTTTAATAACTGTTGTTTGGAAAGTGCGAACGACCTTCGGCATTGTACAGTAGACACTTGAAACGATCGTTCCATCTCTCTACTAAATCATGTGATTCGGACAATTCGTACGTTCCTATATCGCTGATAAAATACTGTAGGTGCTGTAGTTTTTAGTTCGTCTTGAATGATTTTGTTTTTGACTTTATCAAGTACATTTGTTAAAAACGGCTTTTCACTTTCCAATGTTAAAAGATGCAGGTTGCTCGCACTTTGAAACTGGAAGTTTTTTCAACAAAAGGAGTTATCCTAGTGAAATACCAAGATCGTGACTCATCCTGGTACGAAAATCTAAGAAATTCAAAAAGAAATTCAAGGACTCAAGCCCTTGAACGTCTTGAAATTTCTTGATTCCTTGTACCAAGATCTGGATGATTTTTAAATCGTCGTTTTGTTTCACACTCCTGCTTAAATATAACTGCGAAGATTTTTATACGCTTCGAAAATTTTTCTTTCTTGAACACAGCTATTCAAGGATCAGTCTGTGATCACATTTGATTGACTCGATTATAACTCGATTCACTCAAGATTTGGACCTCACAGCGTTTTTCCAAGACCTTGTGACATTTCTTAACTCAAGATCTTGGGTACAAGAAGTTTAACTAGGGTAGTTTAGTGTGTTTTGAAATATATAGTAGTACAAAAATTGAGAGACAAGTTCTGTTGAATTATAGGAATATGCATTCGATTGTTTTTTTCGTCAACGATGGACTGATTCTCGCTTAAAATACAACTTAAGCCAGACAATGAATTATAATTCACTATCTGTCAGTATTAAAATGATGAAGTCCATTTGGGTACCTGATACATTTTTTCTTAATGGGAAAAAGTCACAAGTACATGCCGTACCCAATATTAATCGTTTTTTTCGAATATTTGAGAATGGTACAATACTTTATTCACAACGGTATTCTTAGTAATCACCTTTTCAAAACATTGTTTATATTTATATAATTTTAGTTTAACAGTTCGTGCCGTATGCAATATGAATTTGAAAAATCTTCCGTTAGATGTTCAGTTGTGTCCATTGTTTATCGGTAGTTGTGAGTATTGACAAAAAAAACTTAAATTGAGAATCTAATTAGTTTTTTCTTTTTCAGTTAGTCAGGATGACTCAGAGATTCAATATGAATGGAAAAATGATTCGATAGCGGTCGCGATCGTCAAAGATCTAATGTTAAATCAATTTTCATTAATTGCTACTAAAGTGGGCCGTGGAAAAATAAGACGATATAATCGTGTGCTAGTTTATACATCACTTAATGTTTTAATAATTTAATATCTTTTTGTCGTTTTAGATACACAATCAGTTATTTATGTGATGTTCAAACTTCGACGGAATATGGGCTATTTTCTTTTACAATTATATTGTCCATGTAGTCTTGTGGTATTCATATCGTGGGTAGGATGTTGGTTAAACAGAGAAGCGACAAATGATCGAATCAATCTTGGTGCGTTAAAAGAAACATTCATCTAACTAAATATATGGACATTTAAATTGTGCTAAATAAAACTTGAAAAATTATATAACTTTAGGTGTTACAACAGTGTTAACAATGGCATTCATTATAATCGATGGTAAAAAAGAACTTCCAAAAATATCGTACGTGACAGCTTTGGATTATTATTTGGGTGTTTGTTTCGGATTTGTATTTTCAACTCTATTTCAATTTGCTTGTGTTCATTTTAACACAAAAGCGGGTACTGGTGATATCTATGAAAATATCAGAATATTTGAAGACTGTGGTGTTGAAGTATGTATGTTACTCACATAGCGTTGGAATCAACGACTTATTCAAACTTAATTTTTTTATTTTTGTCATAATACAGAATAATATTTCATTTGATGAATCCGATCACGATAAGCAAACAATTAATACGAAAGAAAAACAAGTATGTTTTCGACCAACAGTTGTACCATTCAAAAAATCTAGATTATCATCTATATCATCATGTTTAAAATGTAAACCAGCCTATTCAAAATTTCAAGGAAAAGTATTAAAAAATATACATTATTCAAATTCTGTTAGTAAACTTGATATATTAGCACGAATATTATATCCGTTATGTTTTTTCGCCTTTAATCTGTTCTATTGGGTGTATTATATCAATATTAGTGATGAAAGTCTTACTGATGAGAATGTATTACATTTTATTTAAAATTTGCATTGAAATTACAGTATTTCAACGACATTATTGAACATGACATATAATCATTTTTTTCTCATTCGTTCTTCTAATTCACATCTTTTAATTAACAGATGTTGTTGTTTTGCTTTTATATTTCAATGAACACCATTAAGAAGATTTTACTCTAGTTTCTTGCAGAAAACGAGTGTTAATATGAGTCTAGCATAGATCATTACTGTAAATTGAGTCATCATAGATCAAATATATGTTCTATTTTTAACAGGCATTTTTAAAAGATACCTTTTTGATTTTTCTCATTAATCTTACTATAGTTTCTTCAACCACATTCAAATGTCGTACATTAATATACAAGAGACCGATAACATGTTAAATATTGCAAACGAAACATTAATCAACAGTGGTCCAACAAAATCTGTCCTTATTGCTTTCGAGATAGGTAGAATATTAACGTTTTTATGTTGTATATTTGGAATATTTGGTAATTCAGCTGTAATTATTGTCATATTCAGTTCATCATTTTGTCATCTAGCATACGGTATACTCATTATTTTTATTGCCATATTTGATATACTACGATTATTATCATCGGTTTATTATTATCTTATTCATGCCCATATTATCACACTTAATCTCTCTACGATTACTCTCTATATATCATGTTATCGTTACACAAAAATTGTAACAAATTGGCTAAAATTAATATTAGCTATTGAGCGAGTTTTTGCAATTAGATATTGGAGTCAACATCGATTGAATGGGATAAAAACAGCAGGTATAAAACAACGAAAAATATTGGTATTGGTAATTGTATTGGTACTGATCTTAGGTTTAGTTAGTCAACATCCAAATTTTATTCCATTTCGTTTTATAAGTACAGAAATTGATTCAGAACGTCTAACTATTGTCAATAAAATAAATTTAAATTTTTATTATGGTAATCAAGTTTTTGACGCTAAATTATTCGCAATTATCTCTTATATATTACTAGATGATGTAATTCCGATTTTAATGTTATTCATATTCAATTTTGTCTTGTTATATGTTCTAAAACATTTACCACCACGAACGAGTAATAAAATTCGTGAATCAGTTTGGATTTTAACATTTTTAACAATATTTTCAGTATTTCTCATTCCACGATCATTTATAGTTGTATTTAATTTGTATGCTGATCCCAAATATGTGGATGATACTCGTTTAGCTGTTATTTTTCATACTGTTTCTGGTCTGGAAATGATGAATCACACTATTACAGGTTATACATGCTTTTTCTTATGTTATACACTGCGAATTCATTTTGTAAAACTCTTCTTTCTACGTTGTATAAATAGAACATCAGTTCGAAATAGACAAAAATATTTGATTGCTACTGTTCTAAAGTAAAACTGTTTTTCGTTGTTCCTGTCTGTAAGCCTTGTGCTTCAGAAGATTCGATGATGGTTTAAAAATGCATATTTTTAAAAGTTGAAAAACAAATAGTGACACAAGAAAATGGTGGAAGACTCAATGACCACAACACACGACAATGCGAGCGGGACAAATATATTAACTGTCAGTCTGACCAACTGAATGAAGTCAACTGTCGCCTTACATATGTCACAAAAAGCAGCTATAGACTCTATCAGAAGGAAAATTGAATAGTACAAGTGTACATACACAAAGGACAGAAAGAAAAAGATTGTATAGTTAACGTATGTACACTGACAAAGGAGAACGAGAAAATTGTTATGCACTATTCTAAATGTTTTTGTTAAAGCAATGTCCAATAAAAGTTAATCCTGTTATCAGAAAAAGAGATTTCATTATCTGCATGTTGACCTTTTGAGAAAAATTTTTTATTGTAAAACATATCTTTTTCATTATTTGTCATGCGTAAATTAGTTGTAATTTCAAATTGTCTATTTGTAAGCAAAAATACAAAGGACTCTATAATACAATATTAAGAAAAGAAAAGGAAATCGCTATTTGTCGCAGCTCTATTAGCTTTAAGAATGGTGAAGAGTAGTACTCTTCTGAAAATTGCATCTGGTGTCACGCTTAGCATTGTATTCTTTATTGCTGGCATTCTAATTGGTCGATTTGCCATTCCACGACATTCTCTTGCACAACAACAACAAAGTAACTCATTAAATAATAAAGTAGTTAACGATGATGCAGTATTAAATATAAAAAATTTGACAAAAAAATTTCTCGATCTTGTTGATACAAATGAAATAATGAAAAATCTTCAGTAAGTCTAGTGTAATAGAATTATTGGGAAAAAATGTGGTAAAATCAATCTGTCTACATATTACAGGCAATTATCACAGCGTACTCATTTAGCTGGCACTTCTGATGATAGCGAAGAAGCTCTTTCCATTGCACAACAATGGAAAGATTATGGACTTGATGTAACAATTCATCCGTATCAAGTTTTATTATCTTATCCAGATTCTACCGTGCCAAACAGGTGTCGAATGAGTTTATCTAAAACCTATTTTCATTCTACAAGCTGCCGGTCTCAATGTCGAGATTCAGTACGTCTTGTAGAGTCTAAAAAAGTATAGTTTTTTAGAGGAAACTACAGGTCAAATTTTTACTTTGCTTTTTCAGTAGAGCTTCTACTATTGTGTTGTTATTTTGCATCAATCTTAGCCAAACTTTTGACGGTTCAACTGTCTCTTCTTTAGAACAAATATAAAAAAACCTTTTTTCCTATGTTAAGGAGAAACTTAAAATCTACTGAATTGGTCAAAAAATACTGAATACTGAAAGAAAGGTGGTGTGATGTCTGTGTATCTCGAGAAGCGCTTAGCAGCTAAACTTTAAAATAGACGTCAGATGCGGAATAAGCGCGAAAAACTAAGCCATATGGCATATTTGGAAAATATTTCTCGTTAAAAAATCCACCGAAAATTTTCGTGTTTGATTCGTTCTCTACAGCCGACTTTTCTGGATAAAAACTCTTTTTTCTCATAATGCAGTTAATGACTTTCTTGTAATCTTAGAATTTCATTAAACGTAACTTAGCCAAAAATACATTTTCTTTTCAAAAAAATACCTCAGAAAAACCAGTTGGGTAAAAACGCAGCTGTTCAATTTTTCTCAGGATTCATCTGCATCAGGCTAACTTTTTTTCATCAAATTCAGTCTATTTTGAGTTTCTCCTTCAGTACTTCTGTTCTAAAGAAGAGATAGATGAGAAGTGTTAAAAGTTAAACAAATGTTGACGCAAAATGATGGTGCAGTGGCATTTAGATCTACTAAAAACAAATAAAATAACGGTTTCTTAGCTTTTTTGTCAGCTAGAAACCTGTGATTTCCACTAAAAATGATACTTGCCATGCTCTACAAGTTGCATTGAGTCTCAAAGCTGGTATCCATAGCTGGAATCGAAATAAAGTTTAGATTGCTTTATTCTATTCGATAATTTAATCTGATAAAGCAAACATTTTGTGTGAATTTCTGTTAGAGTATCAGTTTTGGATACAAACGGTAGAATCATTTATCAAACGAATGGCTCGGAGTCAACTTATGCGGAAGATGGAAATCTTCCATTCGATCGAATTGTGAAACCATTCCTTGCCTATACGCCGGATGGGATCGTTCAGTCGGTATGATTGTATAACATTTTTATATATGATTACATTTCTAAGATCACATTTTTAGAGAAAATTATTCTATTTAAATTATTGTACATTAACTGATTTTAAAACATTTGAAACTGTTGCCAATATTGCTGAATTAATTGGCAATATAATTATTTGTCGATTCGGTAGAATCTATCGTGGAAATAAAGTTAGTTATTGGCTTGTAAGTTAGCTAATGTCTGGTAACTTAAAAATTGTTTCTTTTAACACAGATCATGTTAGCACAAAAACACGGTGTAATCGGTGTGATTTTATATAATGATCCAGCGGACTTTGCATCATCCGGCATTTCTCCGGACAAAACATATCCAAATTCATACTTCTTGCCAGATATGGGCATGCAACGTGGGTCAACTTTAAGTGGATCAGGTGATCCACTGACTAAAAACTATCCATCTACTGGTATGAAATTGTGCTCATTAAAATGTTTGTTTTATATAATGCATGTGCATAAGAATTAAATTATTAATGAGGTTAGATTGGCGATTAACTTATTGCATTTCAAATAGAATAGATCTTACAATTTACCTGCCCATTTTTACTTACTTTTATACCATTGTATAATTAGATCAATAGTGCATTGCATATCCTGTTTACCTAGAAATGTTTTCATAAGACTGTTTGTCTTTAATGAAGAAGAGCATAACTTTATTTAGATTACATGTATAGAAATCCAATAACGAACAACACATATTTACCAAAAATAGTGGCACAACAAATTGGGTATCGAGAAGCAAGAGAACTTTTTTTGTAAGTGAGTGATATGATTTCTATTGAATGTTAAACTACTTCTATTGAGACTATCATAGGTTAATGACCGGAGGCAAAGTAAATTCATCATGGACAGGAGCACTTTCAAATGTTGATTATGTTTATGGTGGTGTTGTAAAAAATAGTTTGTAAGTATGTGTAATTCATTGATAGAAACACACGTGAAATGATAATCAGTTCTTCTTCTATCCTATTTGTAGAACAATACAAATATCGACATACAATAAACTTCAAACACGCACAGTAAATAATGTGATCGGTACCATAACAGGAAATATTGAGCCTGGTAAACTTTATTGCTAATCTAGTCTTTTACATAAAAACTTTTCTTTTATGAAATGCATCCGATATGATAAATTGATTTTTGTGGACTTTTTTTTTTCTCAGATCGTTACATTGTAATTGGCAGTCATTTTGATTCATGGACATTGGGAAGTATTGATAATGATGGAAGTATGGCAGTTTTATTGGAACTATCGCGTGTTTTTCAATTACTAATCAAATCAGGTAATTTGATTAAGTGAACATGGTGTTTTATTTTCAGTTACAACTTACCCTCTTGATTTTTAAATTTAACCTTAATAAATTTTGCTTTATCACCGCTTTTTGATTACAAGAAAAGTTCCACTATGAAAAACATGGACTGAATCTTGATATGCACACAGTCTTACAAACTGCCTTTATATAAGCTTACTTGGAACTACTGTTAAATTGTCCTTTTTAACTTTCTATAAGGTTGGAAGCCACGACGTTCTGTCATATTTTGTGCATGGGCCGCAGAGGTATAAATTTATCTTCTTATATCAACAGCAAAATAAGTACAAAAAAAATAACCAAAATTTAGGAATATGGTATCGTTGGATCAATGGAATGGGTTGAAGAGTATGCAAAAATATTGAGCGAAAGGGTGATAACATATCTAAATATGGATATCATTGTCGAAGGTACGAAACTAATCCTACATGGACATTTTATTTTTAGAATATTTATTGGTTTACTCATAGGTGGTTATGTGTTGCTCATGGAAATGTCTCCACTATTATATGATGTTGTTGTTGAAACAGCTAAAAATGTACGCCTGTATTAGCAACGATCAGAACAATAATAAGTTTATTATTACTCATGTATTCTATAGGTAAAATCAGCTTATGGAAATGAAACAATCTATCAGGAATGGGTACAAATTGCTGGTAGTGCTAATAATATCCAACAATTCTTGTAAAATTATGCATTAATAATGATCTACTTCAAATAATATGTCTATACTCTATTATTTCAGTACGATGGGTCTAGGTGCAACAAGCGATTTTAACGGTTTTAATCAAATAGTTGGTTCTTCAAATCTCGCAATGAGTTATGCACACGACAAAGTAGAATAAAACTGTAGACTGGTATTCTATACATGTTTTATTGTGAGTTTTTCTAGGATTACGCAAAGAATATAGCATCATATCCACTGTATCATACACAATATGAGACATTTCGTCTGGTTAAAAACTTTATAGATCAAACGTTTGAGGTTTAAGATAGTTTTTTATTTATTAATAATTACTGTGTAACATATTTATTGTTATTAAATTCTAGGCACATCAATCTGTTGCTCGAATGTATGGATTGTTAGCGTTGTGTTTGTGTGAAGAAGCTTTAGTTCCATTCAATTCTGTGCGATATCATGAAGCACTATCCAATATCTTAAAGAAGACAATGAATAAGGCACTAGCATCAACAAACTTTAGTACGTTTAATACCTTCCGCTAAAACAACATTTTAGCCAAACATTTGTAAATAAGAAGAAATGCTAGCTTATTAACACGGATTTCATATAGAATCTTTATCTAATCGTTCATTTTCACTCTAGCATCATTACAAAATGCAATCGACGATTTTGGACAAGTGGCAAATAGATTTAATGAACAATTGAAACTCATCGATAAGAAGAAGTATAGTAAAACTATTCTAAATAGTATTCTAAGTAAATATTTGAACACTTACTTTAGTATCATTAATACTCGAATGGCTAGTGATCAATTGTTACAATTAGAACGTGCATTTATTAATCCATTAGGCAATGACTTAGAAAATCCCGATTTAAAGTAATCGTTCATCAAAACCTTTGTTGTTTTCTCAATTATTTTTTATATTTAGACATACTGTATTTGCACCAAGTAGAAACAATAGATATAATGCAGCCGGTTTTCCAACTATTACCGATGCCATTGATGACAATGATATTAGTAATACTCAACGGCAAATAGCTTATGTAACATACTTTATACGATCAGCTATAACAGTATTACAACAACCACAAACAAAATTCAGAGTTAATTAATAATTATCTTGCTCGAAACATTGCAAACATTATATTCTTTATAAAGAAAACAAATAAACTGGCAAAAACAAGAACATAAATGTCCTTATTTTAAATAAAAGAAAATGATAGGTCATAAGGACATATGCTTAAAATGTATGACATCATAAGAGGCTTGGCGACATATTTTATTGTATATGAATCATACATGCTAAAAATATATATACATCTTCTAGATAATAAATCTTAAAATATAATTAATATTTATAATAACATTATTATTTTCGCTACGCACTTGACAATATGACAACAGAAATACAGTCGAATTACTAGGAATATTATATCTTGGGCGATCTAGAGTTTACAGATAATCATTGAAAATAAAACATTGGCATTAATACTCGTACGCAGTATGAATACTTTAAATAGACGCGTTATATACGAAAACTAACTCTAGAAGAGCTGATCCTATTGAACTAAAACTTGGACTTCAAGGGTTTTGAACTGTGCTCTTTCATTTGGCTCACTTAGTTTTTTACAAAACGCTACCAAGTAAGGTTTCTAGAAAACCATGGTTCTTAGCATACCTGGATACAGAAATACTTTTTTCTATGAAAATGCGGTTGCTTTAAAAGATTTTTGTAATTCAGAATAGAATGGGCTAAATTTTTAAAAAATTTCACGTCTTCAGAGTAAAGTTAAAATTTTAATTTTTAAAAAATTACATAACTTAGCACAGGTAAGTGCTATAAGCATTCTAAAGCCGTCATTTGATAGACAATCAAAACTGAACAAACGGAGAGGTTTGTTGACATTCTCACATGACGCGATACCGATTTTATATGGGTTTTGCAGAAATCTTAAGGAAATTTTATTTAGTTCTAAATGTTACATTAACTTTTTAGATATGGTCTTGAATGGATCTGGTAAAATTAAATCATATACACGTGTTGTTATTCCAAAAATAATAATGGAAAACACATAATGGAATATCTCGGCAATGAAGCAAAATTTAAAAAAAGTGAGTTATACTTTTGTAGCCTACAATTTGACAATCACGATCGTGCAGCAAACTTCGCTTTATTTCTTCATACATAAAAATAGATAGGTTTACAAAATAGGCTTATAGCACTTTCAGCGTCTGCGTCCGATCGATCATCTCTAACGAGGGAATGTATTTAAGCGCCCCCTCGCTTTTCAACGAAACCTAGTGGGTTATAGGTTATCGATGATGCTGATTCCGACTATGAATATGAGAGCTACTCTTAGGACTTCGAAGATCCGGTTTTCTGGAAAACCAGTTTTTCAGAAACTCTGAAAAACAACCAAAGCTTTTCTTAATGAGCCATGCTTGTAGCCAGCACATTTCTGCTTAAAATGAGACCTCTCCCAACTCTACGTGACCTTTCTTTGCAAAGCTATAGAATGTACAAGAAAAGCCCTAAATTAACCGGATCTTCGAAACCCGAAGAGCAGCTCTCATATTCATAGTCGGAATCAGCATCAGCGATAACCTATAGCCCACTCGGTTTCGTTGAAAAAGCGAGGGAGCACTTAAAAACGTTCCCTCGTAAGATCATTTTTTATCCATGAGAAATTATTTTCTAGGTTCAATTTTTAATGGTGAATCCGATCAAAATGTTTTCAAAGCTTCAGAACGAACTGGAGCTGAGAAAATGAATTCTATTCATAATATACCTGTTCTTTCAAATCTTACATTCATCAAGTTTTAGAACCTTTCTTTTTTAAAACATGTCTTGGAAAAAATTAAAATACATATATTCTTGATCAGCTCGACGAGCTCTGTCCGACTATAAACATTTCGTTAATTCGAACAAATCCTCAATAACGACATTGATAATGAAAGAGCATAATTTAAAACCCTTAAAACCTGAATTATGGCCAAATAGGATGCCGTGAGTAGAAACTAGCCTAGACCTACTTTCTCATGTAACACGCCTGTTAGACGATAAAGACTGTACACATCTCCTCAATTATGCACTATATATAAGCCAAAATTGCGATTTCCGAATTGTTTAGATATAACTAACTTTGTTTCGTACTATCTATAGAAAATGTAAAAGGCACGCTCTTTTACTCGTCATATTACTCTATTTATTACATTTTTATTAATTGTGATCAGAAAGATCAGACTTACTTGGTATCAATAAAATGAGTCACATTTAGTGTGCGATAGTTTTCTGCATTGATCATGTTCGACTTATTCAAATTTTTCTCAAAAACTGCAGTTAAATACGTTATTTCAAACTTAATCTTACGAGGGAAGTACCCCAACTGATAAATCGCTTTTTTAACGAAACCGAGTGGACTATAGGTAGGCGACGATGCTGATTCCGAATATCACCATGAATGCTGCTGCTAGGCCTTCAAAGATCGGTCTTCTGGAAAACCAGTTTTCGAGAAACTCTAAAGAACAGCCAAAAGGTTTCTTAATGAGGCGTA